CAAGTGTCTGCATAGTCCGCTCTGACTGACCGTCCGTCTCCGGATGGTAGGCTGAATTGAACTCTAACTTCGTGCCCATCGCCTCATGTAAGTTGTGCCATAATCGACTGACGAATCTGGGATCTCTGTCTGATACGATCGTGACGGGCACTCCGTGGAGTTGGATGATCCCAAGGGTATATATCTCAGCCAACTTGTCCAAAGACATCTTCATCGAAACGGGTAAGAAATGCGCGACTTTGGTCAATCTGTCGACCACGACTCAGACAGCGTCGTGATGTTCAGACGACCTGGGTAATCCCGTGATGAAATCCATCGTGACTTCCTCCCACTTTCACCTCGGAATTGGTAGTGGTTGCAGGAGGCCAATCGAACTCTGATGCTCGGCTTTGACTTGCTGACAGGTAAGACATCTTCTCACGAACTCGGCGACATCCTTTCTTCATGCCTCTCCACCAAAACGACCCTTTCAGGTCGTGATACATCTTCGTGCTCTCGGGTGGGCCAGATAGGGTGCGGTATGTGCCTCTGATAGAATCTCCTTCCGCAACGCCTCGACCTTCGGGACCACGATCCTGCCTCTGAACTCCAAGGCACCATCGACACCTAACTGAAAATCCTGGATGCCTCCGGCGCGAACCTTGGCCTCCATGACGCGAACAAACTAGTCAGAAGCCTGCTCTCGCCGGATTCTTTCCCTCAGTGTTGGCTGAAGCTGCATAGCACCGACACTGGCACAGGTACTCCCCAAAACGGCTAAGGGAAGTGCATCAATCGCCTGAAGCTGCATCCGGGAAAACTCATGAATCAACGGACTCTGCTGCGTAATGACGTACGTCAAGTCACCCTTCACCTTTCGGCTTAGGGCATCCGCGACGACGTTCGCCTTTCCCGAATGGTACTGAATAGAACAATCATAATCCTTGACAAGCTCAAGCCAACGGCGCTGCCTCATATTGAGCTCCTTCTGCGTGAAGATGTACTGCAGGCTCTTATGGTCTGTGAAATCTCGCAACGTCCGCCGTAAAGATAATGTCACAAGATCTTCAGAGCGTGAACGACTGCTGCTAACTCCAAGTCGTGCGTAGGATAGTTCTGCTCATGAGGCTTAAGCTGACGTGAAGCATACGCAACGACCTGGCCGTCCTGCATAAGGACACATCCCAAGCCCTGTCTCGAAGCAGCGCTGAAGATAGTGAAACTCCGAGAAGGATCGGGAATAGTCAACACCGGTGCTGAAGTTAACCTCCTCTTGAGCTCCTCGGAAACAGTAAAACAAAAATGTACAAGCTTAACTTAAAGCTTATACTTACTGATTGCATGACTTGAGAATTCAGTAATTTAATACTGAATAAGAAACTTGATCTGAACTGAAGGTACATCAATTCACAATTAAGTGAATTGTAGAATACTGCTGACTGAAAATGGACACTTTTTTAAAAGAAAGTGTTCCACTGTAATATCCCGACTTTTTATCAGTATAATAATATTTCAGTTCCGATATCATTATTCGGAATTAATTATTTTCAGTTATTTCAGTCAGAATTAC